TGAATCCCTTGTTGGCCACCCAACACTTGACAACAGACTCGATGTGCCTGTCTTACTATCTCCCGCAACCACACCATGCAGGTATTGATGGCACTGACAATCCTATCTGTCTGGGCATCATTCGTAGGTTTCGTATGTGGTGTGCGTTTTTTCAGCAGCAGCAAAGATGGCAATGGCATATCAGTCGGAGCTGAGAACAGGAAGGAAGGAAGGAATGTGGGGGATTACTCTGTGCTTTAAGAATCAGAAGACCACATAAGAAACCTTCTGCAAAAACCACCAAGAAAGGCTTACCTGCCTGTCTGCCTGCCTGCCAGCCTGCCAAAATTGTTGGAGTCCAGGGCAAGCACAGCCTCCATGCTTTGCATTTTCCTTCACCTTCCACTTTCCTGCCCAATCCTACCCCACCTGTTACTTAGCTGTCAGTTGAATTAACCACCCACCTTGCATCTCTTGTCAGTTGACTGCAATCACCCATCACACCCCCTCCCCCTACCCCCTCACAGCCCAACTTAATCTCAGGTGTCATTTCACATCTATAGCAGTCCCCCATGGTTTAACATACCGAGTGTGGAGGACGATGTCCCTGGTTGTTTCCCATTGGTGGTCTTATCAAAGGCTAGTGAACAGCTACTGTCTCCCTTGCTTGAGGCAGCAGGACTCACAGTCGGACCCATGATTGGTGATCTCTCAGGAGCAGACTATGGCATTTGAGAACCTCCATTCACGGTTGGACATACCACTAATGCAGCACGTTATGAACGGGGGTGCCACTATGATGAACTCTTGCTAATCCACGTCAGAAGGCAGCTCTCACACTCCTGAACTCACCATGCATTCTGCTGCCATCTTGTTGTGCCCCCACTGGGCAAGTATCCCTGGAGACATCCAGGTAGATGTGCAAGTTATTAGTTGGGCTCTTGCCAACACTGAACTGTCTTAACACTTCAGGGTTCCCCAGCACCCATACCAGGCTCTTAGTTGCTGCATAGGACCATGTTTCCCTAGCCTTACACACTCTGGCTGGCTGTCTTCTCTCCCTGGTCTCATCAGAAGATAGGCTGCAGACACAGGCAGACCTGGACAGGCTCGAGAGTTGGGCAGACCAGAACCAAATGAAGTTTAACACTTCCAAGTGTAAGGTGCTCCATGTGGAGGCAAACAACCCTCAACATACATGCAGGCTCAGTGGTGACAGCTTGACTTGCACCACAGCCGAAAGGGACCTAGGGGTAATGACTGACCATTGTATGAACATGAGCCGGCAGTGCGAGGTGGTGGTTAGCAAGGCAAACAACAAAGGAAGTGATACTCCTGCTGTACTCAACACTGGTGAGACCACAGTTGGAGTACTGTGTCCAGTTCTGGGTGCTGCACTTCAATAAGGATGTGGAAAAACTTGAGAGGGTCCAGAAAAGAGCCACCCGTATGATCAGGGACTTGCAAGGCAAGCCATACAAGGAAAGGCTGAGGGACCTGGGCCTCTTTAGCCTAAAGAAAAGAAGGTTGAAAGAGGTCTTGATAGCGGCTTACTGCTATATCAGAGGAGGGCATCAGGAGCTCAAGGAACAACTGTTCACTAGGGCACCCCTGGGGAAGGCCAGGACCATTGGATACAAACTCCTGGAAGGCTGCTTCAGGCTTAATACCAGGAAAAACTCCTTCACAGTCAGGGTGTCCAGACTGTGTCATAAACTTCCTCCAGAGGTGGGGCAGTCGCCTACCTTGGATGTTTTCAGGAGGAGACTGGACAGTCACCTCACTGGGGTCACCTGGGGGATGATCTGCAAGGTCCCTTCCGCCCGTAACAATCTATGAATCTATGATGAATAATGCTACATCCAAATACAGTCAGAAGAATATTTTCATTAAGAAAATTAAGGGCTTAATTTGATACAGTTTTTTTGGGTGTGCTGCGATGCAGCTCCACACCATGCCACGCACCCTGCCGGTGGCTGGGCCAGGTCCAACGGGAGGTGGGGAGGGCAGGCTATAGCCATCCCAGAATTGGGCAGAGCAGTGCACACGGCTGCGTGGATATGGCCTGGCCAAGTATTCAAGGCATCACAGGGCATCTGCTGAAGGAATCTCCATGGAAACCAGCCCAAGAGGCAACAGCGGGAGATACTGGAAAACATAGTCCTTAAACAGAAAAAAAAATGGAGGATGGCCAAGGGTCGTATTCCCCGCCCCCCATGCAGACCATACTTTGGTACCCCATGGTGCTGGTGGTACATACACCTCCACCACCACAGTTTTATTACATTCTCCCCTTATCCCAACACCACCATCCGGCAAGATGGAGGCGGATGAGGAGCAGCGGAGCAGCAGCAGCAGCAAATGGTAAGTTTGCAGCTGAGGGGGTGGGTGTGGCACCTGTTCTTTGTACTTTAATACTTTGAGATAACTTTTATATTTCTTATCATTGCATTCCAGACACACAAGCAACAGTGAGGGTGGACGCTGTGTGCCAGACCTGGCCCCTGGGATACAAGGCATCCCGAGTTATATATAGGTAATGTCAGAAATATCCCACCGACTTGCTTTGTATCCTGTAGGGGAGAGGGGAAGAAGGTGCTTTTGTGGGACTATGGGCCAAAACTAAACTTCTGCTTCTTTGTTTGCTCCCCTGCAGAAGACAGAGAAGATCAAAAGTAAAAGATGGTAAATGAAGAATAAAAAAAGTTAAAGACAGAGAAGAAAGAACAGTGAAGAAATAAATGAGACTTAATAATAGATAGATAGATAGATAGATAGATAGATATGTATTAAAAATAAAAATAGAGTATAGAATAAGTTTAGATAGATAGTATAAATAGTATAAATAAGTATAGATAGTACAGATAATGTAAGAAGTATAAATATTAGTAATATAAATATTATAAATAAATGTAAGTATATAAATACTATACATAATATAAATAGTATCACAATTTTAATGTTTTATAATAGTTTCTAATATTTTTTTAAAGGGCTTTAAATGGTTTTCATATCGTATGATATTTTCTGATGCTTAATAATATTCCTAGTGATGGTAGCACAGCTTATCTTAGTTATACTTAGGTTTATTTACCATAAATTATTTAATTACTTTCATATTTATTCAAATTTTACTGCTGTATATATGATTCTTCTGTTTATTTATTTACCCACTTAATTTATTTAGTATGATGTTTTGGATCATGGCATTTTCAAAAAAGTTATAATAAAGATTTCAAATAAAGATTTGCCGAGGTTTATTTCACAGGCAGAATGGGCTATGAGAATTCACACACTTCAGGGGTGTGGGGCTTGGGAGCGCCGTGCAGGGGCTAGAGAAGGATGCAAGGGGCAGGGCACCTATTTGGGCAGGTATAGGAAGCTGTCCAGCTTGAGCATAGGGTGAGGAATGAACATAGTGAGATGGAGGAAGTGGGGCTGCATGCTGTGGTGATGGGTGATGCATGGTCAGTGTGCAGTAGGGGGCTGTGTAAATAAAATTGCCAGATACAACTTTTTTTCCTCCATAGGCAGAATACCATGGGTGGGAATTCATGCGGTTGGAGGGTGGGTTTGGGGGTGGATGGGGTGGGCTTGTGACCGTGGGTTAGTGCGGGGACCCCTAATTTCAGGGGCTGGGGGTTGAGGAGGGAGGAGATTACTGGGTAATTACATGTGCCCCCTGCTGTAATTCAGTACCATGAAGACAGCAGCAGGGTGGACTGGTATGTGGCTTCCCCTGCTAGAATTCACAGGGAATTGCACACTGGGTTTAATTCATTGTGAACACTGTTACGAGCAAACAATGATGAAACATTCTATGATAAATTTTATAAACCTATTTAATTTAATGAGGGTTAAACCCTGTTATGTGTACAAGCACTGCAAACAAGTGATTTCCTTCCCTTCCTCCTCACAATTTGCTGTGTACCTTTATAAATCTTCTCCTTTTGTTCCCCTGCAAGACTTTCCTAACCTCTGCTTTGTCCTTTCTGTCTCTTTGTCCTTTGTGGAATTACTCAATCCCTCCATTTACTCTTCCCTGCAAACAAGGAGCAAATTGATTCCCCTTTGGCTTTAAGCTAACCCATTGGTCCAAGGTGTTTCCACCTGAATAGATGATTATTAAGGTTTAATGAGACTGGTTCAATCAGGAAATAATACAATCAAGTAGTGGATCCCACATACACATAGAGGCATTCAAAAGACTGTCATGTGATAATTTCTTCACAGCAACCCCAATTTGTAAGCTGCACACAAATTGTCCAAACTATCACATCAGTCCTCAGACCAAAACCCGACTATGGAAATGACCTGCTAGATGGCCTCCAGCAGGTCACTTCCCTTTCTCCGTTTGCTGATCTCAGTTTTCTGACCTAGGGGTGATAAAACTAACACATTTTTTTTCTCCATTGGTACTACAAGAACAAGTGAGCCAATGGCTCTGCAGTGTAGAAAACATGTAAATCTCTATGGAACGGTAATTACAATTTTCACAGGAAGTTCGCCATGCTGTTCAACCCATGCTGTTATTTACTCACATTTGTCCCCAACTTCTTGTTACATCCCATGAAAAACTCCAAAAAGCCCATCTGAGCCAACCAACCCATCAGACTAAATTGGATAAGTCAAGCCAACTTCTGTAGCTAAAAGCAAACAAGGTAATGCTGTGTCCATCATCACAATTGTCTGGATATAATCTAATGATAGGGAAAAATCCTATAACATCACAATACAGCCAGACAGTTTCCTCCTATTCCTGGGAACTGGATGTCTGCTGGCAACCCCCATCACAGCCCCTCTGTGCTCCAAAACCCTCTGTGGCCCATTGTTTTTTCTCTGGCCGTTCATTTCAGCCAGTTACTGGCTCAGAGTCACCCATTTGCTGCTTGCTTGCTTCTTGTCAGGTAAACCCTGGCTAACAAATTGCTTAGTAAATGTACTCTTTTATAAGTGACAGAACATAAGTAGGAAGTGATATGACCTGTAAATACCCATGTTACTCTGCTTGTCTCCCTCAGCAACTCCGCGGGGGGACAATTGGGAATCATGCTGTCTTGAGACGCTGTCACATACAGATAACCCCCAAAACCTGGAGACAGACAAGAAAATCATCAGGCTGTCTGCCACGTGTGACGATCTGTGGCAAACAAACAGTGATCCTTGCATCTGTTTAAGGAAAAAGATCCTCAGGTAGGGGTGTGTGCACATGGGAAGGGAACGTGATGTTTACGTAGGCAAAAGTCTCATGGAGCAGGTGGTATGCGGACCTTTTCTGCAGTAGTGGGAAGATTAATGCTACAGCAGCTATTCCAACATTCCCTCAAGACCCAGCCCAGAAGAGAGGGTCCTCTCCCAGAGTCCCAACGTCCTTGTAAAGAGGGGAAGCCTGTTTCAGGAACTGGTCCTAGCATTTGGCCATTTCTTCTCCCTGGAAGGAAGGTCTTGTGCTGAACTGCTGATTCTCACTCACCTGTGCTGTAACAGGTAATTCTCACAGTTCATACCAGTTGGACATGTTTCTCTCTCATTTTCCAGTCTGACAGAAACATAAAAGTGTCTGTGCTGAGAAAGTACCTACCTTGGCTCAGCTGCCTTTTCTCAGGTAGCTCAGGCCAAGATGGCCTCATTTTGCTATCTCCCTACTTGTCCCCTGCGGGCAGGACTGTCACTCATGCATTGGACTCAGCAGCCATCACAGAACTCATTGGTGCATACACTATGCCCTGTAAAGAACAACAGTGCCAATTGATTGACTTGACTTATCCCCTTTCCCATTGCAGGTACTGGCTGCACTTTGAGGACCACCTCATCATCACAGGGTATACACAGGATAGTCTGGACCTAAATTGGGCAAAGACACGAAGTCAGAACATCAGTGCCACAATAACCCAAGCTGTTGTCTTCACATTTGTGCCTTCTGAGGTGTGAAACACAAATCCTTCTAAGTGGTGGCTCTTTCAGAGCATGGAAGATATAAGCCATTGGGTCTAAAGAAGTGATTCTCAGCTGGGGTGCCACAGTACCCTACGGTGCCATGAAATCCTGTTAAGGGTGATGCAGACATGCTGTAGCAGGGGGGGAGGGGTTAGTGGGGCGACCACCCCAGGTGCCAAAGCGAAGGGGGCACCAACAGGTGCTGCCCAGCTAGGTTGGGACATGGGATTGAGCCAGAAGTGGTTCATTTGGGGGGCCCAGGGATGGGGGAAGGGCAGCTCCAGCTGCTGTGTGCACTCCCAGCAATCATGAGGGGGGCATGTGCCCCCTCCCCCTCCACCCCCCCGGATCTGTGCACTGGTCAAGTGCAGGCTGCCACTGCTGTCTTTGCATTCAGTGCCAAAGCACTGAAGTTTGGCACCCGGGGCAGAGTCCAGCTGAAAACTTCTGGCCTGCTGTGGTCTTTCTGAGTTCTGTACAACAGAAAAATCATTCTATTATTTTTCTATAGTCAAAAAATGAGTGATAGTTAAAAAAGAGTTGCATTTTCCAAAGGTTGTCTTGAATTTAGTGAGAGATGTTTTGAGTCTAAAAGGGATGAGAAACACTTATATAGAGTACCAGACAGACTCATCAAGGCACTGGGGATATGATGTTACGTAACCGTTACCATATATATATGTACCTGTGAGGATGCAGGAAAAAATGGTCTCTCCTTCTAGTATTATGCATGCACCTAATGCACTCAGATGTTTCTTCACATCCTACATCCTCAGCTGGACTCACACTGGAAATGGGGTCATGAACTTGGATTTGGAGCTACCCACACAGAAAGTTTGAGAAGCTCTTCTCTACTGGTCAGGAGTAGGACCTCTGATTTGTATTCCCAGTTTCACCACTGATTCACTGAGTAACTTTGGACAAATTATTTCTCATCTGGTTTTCAATTTCCATCATTACGGTGGATACTATAATAATATCCACCTTGCATGGGATTTATGAGAATGTAATAGGGTCTTGATCCCAAGATGGGAGATATTAGACAAGAACCAGGTGCTGTCAGCAGATGATTCATAGATTCATAGATGTTAGAGTCGGAAGGGACCTCAATAGATCATCGAGTCCGATCCCCTGCATAGGCAGGAAAGAGCTGCATAGGCAGGAAAGAGGGCTGGGTCTAGATGACCCCAGCTACATGCTTATCTAACCTCCTCTTGAAGGCCCCCAGGGTAGGGGAGAGCACCACCTCCCTTGGGAGCCCATTCCAGACGTTGGTCACTCTAACTGTGAAGAAGTTCTTCCTAATGTCCAGTCTAAATCTGCTCTCTGCTAGCTTGTGGCCATTATTTCTTCTAACCCCCAGGGGCGCCTTGGTGAATAAAACCTCACCAATTCCCTTCTGTGCCCCCATGATGAACTTATAGGCAGCCACAAGGTCGCCTCTCAACCTTCTCTTGCGGAGGCTGAAGAGGTCCAGGTGCCCTAGTCTCTCATAGGGCTTGGCCTGCAAGCCCTTAAGCATACGAGTGGCCCTTCTCTGGACCCTCTCCAGGCTATCCACATCCCTCCTGAAGTGCGGCACCCAAAATTGCACGCAGTATTCCAACTGTGGTCTGACCAGCACCCGATAGAGGGGAAGTATCCCCTCCTTGGTTCTGTTCGTCATGCATCTGCTGATGCACGATAAAGTGCCATTGGCTTTTCTGATGACTTCGTCACACTGACGACTCAGGTTCATCTTGGAGTCCACTAGGACTCCAAGATCCCTCTCTGCTTCCGTGCCTCT